CTGTGAAAAATAAAAGCCATGACAATTGTTTTTAATAATCACAGCTGACAGAATACATTTAAAATAGTTTTGGGTAGTTAAGGTTTTTAAAATAGGTAGAGGTAAGGGTTATTAGTGAGAAAATTCAGTTACTGATAATTAAATTTTTTAATTCTGGGAAATCAAACTCAGAAATTGCAACTTTGTTAGACTTATCGTGGTACAGTATGAGAAATATTGTTAGACGATGTAACGTAACTGGTTCAGTTAATATTAAGCCACGATATGTGAAAAAAAGTTATATCGCAAATGCCGACCGAAGAGCATTAAGAAGAATTATCGTGAAAAATAGGCGTGCCAATTATTTACAATTAAGTGCTCTGTGGAGTGACGCTGTTTGGAAGGAGAATTTCGAGGTCCACAACTCATAGAGAGGCCCACAAAACTGGGATCTAGCACTTGCAAGGTAAGGTTTCTTATAAAAAAAGTAGAGTAAAAACCCTAAAGTTGCACAACTTGTTTATAGGTCAAAGAAAAGCCAGTATTAACTCCACTGCAAAAGAAAAATCGGCTTAGATTGGCTAAAGAACATAGACAATGGACATCTCAACAATGGTGTGCAATACAATGGAGTGATGAGGCCCGATTCGAAGTTTGTGTTGGTGACAGTCGCAGTAGAGTTATTCGCAAAAAAAATGAGGCATTCCATGTTGACTCTCTGAAGAGAAAAGTGAAATTTCCAGCATCCATTATGGTCTGGGGCAGTATGTCATCAAAAGGAGTAGGAAAACTTCATTTTATTGATGGAAATGTGGATACAAACAAATATTTGGCAATTTTAGAAGAATCGCTTTTACCAGTGATGGAAGAATGTTTGACATCCGGCCAAGATTTTGTGTTTCAGCAAGTTGTTGCAGCGAGCCATACCTCGAAAAAGATGGAAAAAATGGATGGAAGAAAATAATGTTCCACTTTTGAAATGGGTTTCTAGCAGTCCAGATCTGTCACCTATTGAAACTTTGTGGCACGAGATGAAAAAGGTTCTACGACAACATCCTGCTCATACAATCAGCGAACTGAGACAAAAGCTTCAAGAAATATGGGATTGTTTTACACCAAATTTTTGCCAAAACCTGGTTAACACTATGCTCCAAAGAATTTCAGCTGTAATAAAAAATAAAGGTGATGTTACCCAACGGTAATTACCGTTTAAGATTATAATCTTTCAATTGTTGCTTTGTTAACTTCGCGCATTTATTCGCACATTGTTTATTTGTTCAGATGTTCTATTAGTTATAGGTCTAAGTGATTTCAAATATGTATTTTTTACGACTAGAGTGTATCTAAAATTTTTTTGAGAAAATAAATTGTTTTAGAAGTAAACAGTTTCGTCATGTTTAGTTTATAAAGGCATATTTTGGTACAAATCTTGAAATGGGCCAAGTGAAGTGGGAAGAGGCTCGTAGTCCCGATCTAAGTCCTAACGATTTCCAGTCACCAGAAGAAGCAGTTGACGCATTCAAAAATGCCGTTTTGCATCTGCCAGCAAACGAGTGGGATAAGTGCTTCGAAAATTGGTTCGAGCGCATGCAGATGTGTATTAATCTTCGTGGAGAATACTTCGAAAAACAGTAAAGTCATTTAAAATTACCTACCGTGTTGTTTTATTTCCATATGCAAAACTTAAAAGACATCCCTCGTACCAAGCTTCGAGTTATTCGAAAATGAAGGGTAACAGACAATGGATGATGAATCGCCAGCGCAAAACGCGATACTCCGGTCGACGTAGACATAAATTTGTAATAAATTCGTTTCAAATGTAGTAATAAATTAGACTTTAAATAGTAAAAATAGTTTTTTTCGTTCTAATACAATATGTGTAAACGTATTATGGCGTCATGTGTTGGCGGTTGGTTTGCAGACGAGACATCGATGTTTCAATAAAAAACCGGCCATTTTTGCCATCGATGGTATATTTCTGAATAACATTGATGTATCGATGCCACTTTTCCTGATATTTCATCTTAAAATGATGCTTTTGAAGAACCGGCTATACAGGGTGATTTACAAATCGTGACATCGTGAGCAAAAATGAAACATCACCCACACGACCACATTTTGTAACATTAAAAATATACGGGGTGTTGAAGTTTAAAATTTTTTTTAAACACATATCATCAAAACCGTCAACTATAATGAACTAAAATTTGGTATGTGAATTTACGGAAGTATTGTCCACTTTCTAAAGTTTTTACTTAAAATTAACTTGCACCAGTGCCGGAGATACAAGAGACTAGTGGCATTATTTTTTCAAATAAAAATAGTACGCCACTGTTTTTTTCGAAACGCGTTATTTTTCGAAGTTTACCTTCAATTTGCTACAAATAATTACTCTTGTGTTTTTTCCTAGGGTGCACCTTTTTCGTAAAAATAAAATAATTCAGATCATTCTTGAAGAGCACAGACAATTAGTTTCAAAATAAAACAGGAGGCCTTGATGCCAACTTGACGTTTCTTGAGAGATATTTTGTCAAACTTATGTGTTAATGGTTGTTTTATCGTTACTACTACCTACCATTTTTTTTAAAGTCAAGTCCAGAGCTTTTTTCCTTTTTGAGTGTTGTGAAATGGAATTTAGCAATGATGAGTACGCCGGTATTATTTTTGTGTACGGGTTCTGTAATGGAAATGTTTTAGCTGCTGCCCGGGAGTATCAACGTAGATTTCCTAACAGACGCCAACCCACCCCAAAGGTTTTTACTAATTTGTATATTTTTACTGTTACGAAAACAATGCACTGTAGAAAAAAACACAAGAGTAATTATTTGTAGCAAATTATAAGTACAATTACAAAAATTGCGATTTTCGAAAAAAAAAAACAGTGGCGTACTATTTTTATTTGGATACATAATGCAACTAATCCCCTGTATCTCCGCCACTGCTGCACGTTAATTTTAAGTAAATACTTTTAAATGTGGACAATACTTAGGTAAGTCCACATACCAAACTTTAGGTCATTCCAGTTGACAGTTTTGAAGGTATTAAAAGAAATTGTTTATTATTTTTAAACTTCAACACCCCGTATCTTTTTAATGATGCCTTCGAGGAAAAACTGTTACATAGATGAACCCCCTTAAAATGCAGTCCTGTGTATGATGTTTCATTTTTTGGTCACGACTAAATTATATGCATGTTCGTTGAAACAATTTCATTACAGAAGCTTAAATACCCGCATGGGTATCATGTAAAAGACCTATAAAACGTAAAAAAACCTATAAGATGTCATCTTGCAAACTAGGTAGTTTTTAGGGTGCAAACAGTCATTCCACGTTTGCTCTCTAGGATCCTTGTGAACGTCCATCTAAGGAGGAATCACTCAACTAAACTACATGCATTATTGGTTGCATATGTTTTGTGAGGCCAAATGATCCTTGTCTGTAGTTTTTATCTCTGAGAAGGAAGTTGGTTAATAGCTAGATCGCATCTGGATGATTATGTGTATTGGTCTGCATGTGTATAAAATCGGTGATATCTGCTGTGTGAGAAAATCATTACTGAATAGTTATATGCTGCCAATGAAGTACCTATATTAATTGGCTGTTCCCGACGGGTTATTTTTACGTTGTGCTTCGTGAAGAGAGGTAATGTTCAAAGTTATAAATAACGAAAAACTGAGGAGAATTAGGGAAAATCGTCACCGCGCCCGCGTTGTGTGTAAGTACTGTTAGCATGTATATGGCTTCTAAATCGACAGTGTACAGTGAATATAATTATTTCTTATCTCTCTCATTTTTAAAATTCAGCAAATTTGTATATGTAATTTCCAGAAGGGATAAGAAAAAGTGAATGCGCAACTAATGTCTAGCTTTGAATCTCAATTAAGTATATTTGAGACAAGAACCCAATGTAAATTATATATCATCAATACATACAACTTACAGCTTACACCTCCAGTAATGCCATCTCATAAGCAGATTTTACATCACATCAGAGCCAAAGATTCGCCTGCTATAAGGAGCTTAAGGACACCCTGTTATTTTTGAACCACCCAAAAGGTTAGTAGCATTGAGAAAAGCTTCCTAAAGCATATTGTTCGTTAGTCCTGAGGGACAAAGCAGCGGTCTTACCGATCGGTTCTGGACGCGCGAAGTTCGATACGGTTGGGATGGGAGGTCAGGCGGGTCTATCTGGCATGCTCATCGCGTGGCGGCATCATGGAGGAAAAATCCAAGGAGCAAAACCCGTTAACAAAGCGGTGGAAGCCAGATCGCCAACGGATCGTCGGACAGCCTTTCTCCAAACAGCATCGAGCATGGACAATCTATTCAGGGCGGCAGCACACCAAACATGTTCGCAGTACTCGAGGCTAGACCAGGCAACTCTGCTATTAATGTAATCAACTATTATTTATCGTTCATAAAAATCAAGTTTGATCAGATACCTGCAAATTCAAGCGGCCGGCCGTAGTACTATATAATCTCAGATACTCATGGGCAGTAGGTACCTGGCACTATTCGCAATCACTACGCCCGTGAAGTTATGGGTTGTTTTTTTACTTATTTATTCGCTGGTTCTCCTGGTATACCCATAGGAATATAGTCTCCATGATCATAACTGTATTACTATTAATCAAGCCAATTGAAATCGGTGTCGATGATGGTATGGCTCACACACGCATATACCTGTCAGAAAAAAGATCCGACCCCATTACATAGTACTAATTAGCCAAATAAATCATAATTATTTGAATTAGAGGCTTCATAAGTAATCTATAATAATCTATTTAAAAATCTATACGGAGTTTGGGATATTTTACATTTTTTTCCAAAATGTAAGGGTTAATCCAGGACCAAAATATCAAAGAGCTGTTGTGTGATAATCTAGCTTGTACCGCGTACCACCCTGTATGTTCCAATGGTAGCGCTCTCTATGGATGGAAAGTGATAAGATTACTCGTAGATGCTTCATAAATAAATCGATAAAGAAAACTGCAAGGCGCATCGAGCAACCAGTCTTACAATCTCGTGCTAGGCGTGATTGCAGAGTTCCTGATGGTTTGAACCCAATCACAAAGCCCCTGTTCTGTACCGTATAGCTATTATTGTTTTTGTTTGTCAATGGCGTTCCGTGTGGGTATATTTTAAGCCGGTGAAATAAAAATTATCCCGAACAACCCAATCATTCCAACATGCCGGGAACGATTTTGGAAAACCTCAGCGGAAAGAAATTGAGTGTACTAGTGACCATTCTGTTAACTTTCCAGATAGCATGCTTTCTGGTTGGTTTGATTGCTCCCAGTCCAGCAACATCCCAGGGAATCTTGACCACCGTCTGCGTTGACCGTGACCCAAAGAACAAAGAGATTAACAGGTGGTTCACTAGAAGTTGCCCAACTCAAGTCCACTTGTCTGATCGACAGAGCACTGCGGGACTAGATGCAAACAATTTGGTAAGCATGCAGCATGGTTGTAAGGTCTATGTAGACTTTTTTATAACAATAAAAACAGGGCCGGAGCTATAGCAACAAGTAATTTGTGGTCCTACACAAAACTTCAATTTCTTTGCTTTGGAGATCCTTGAATACTTTCTGAGTTCACCTCAGTGTTGGGCCCATAGTTTCTGTTTTACCTCTTATGAGAATTGAAGAGCATTACGATCTTTGAGGACACAAATTTTCTCTACTTTGGAGCCATGTGGTGGGACTTTGGTTGACTACTAATAACTTGAACTTCAATCAACCTGTAATCCTTCTCACTCATTAAGATATACTTTATCTTGATTGCTTTAGGCCATTCCTTCAAATTTATCTGTAGCACTTCATTTCTGTTAATCTAATGAGTAAGCACATAAGTATAAATGTACAAAGTTTTGCCCAGCAACAGTATTTTTGTTAGAATGAGTATCATTCTAACAAAAATACCAAGTAAACCAATTTTGTCACTCACATTTTTATTTTATTTCAATGCTTAATGCATGTTTTAATAGCCTGCCCATGGTTTTTATATGGGATATCAAACTATAAAAGAGGGGTAACACCTGATGATCCTATTTTTTGCAGGTGTTTGTAGCAGAAATGCCCCATTACTCATTTGACTACTCTCGTTGGCAGCAAAATCTAATGGGCATTTTACAAATTGACATGGTTTATCAAGAGGACCAGAAGCTTCTTGATCCAGTCATGGAACTTACTCTAGATGCTCGCTTAGCCTACAGTGACAAGGATATAAACAAAGGCAAGACTCCATGGCAGTACTATGCACATTCAGAAGTCAAGAGGTACATGGAATGTACTTTTGATGAAAAATCTGCCCACAATGATAAAAATGGTTATCCTTATGATTGTGGTATGGTACCCTTATTTGAACTAGGGTCATTGCATCATGATTATTATCTTTTGAATCTAAGGTTGCCATATAATCGTACTGCAAACAAAAATGTAGGTTTGTCTAGACTAGAAGATGTGCATATTCATACAATCCACATGAACGGCGGTTTTACAAAAGTATGGGTTGCGCTAAAAACATTTTTCTTTCCGATCATTATTGGGATCATGGTTTGGTTTTGGCATCGGGTGCATATCTTGAACAGAACTCCTGCTTTACTTGAATATATGCTCATGTCTCTCGGAGCCACCCTCGCTTTTCTCAACTTACCGCTAGAGTACCTTACATTATCATTTGAAATGTCTTACATGCTTATTCTCAGTGATATCCGACAGGGTGTCTTCTATGCTATGTTGCTTTCATTCTGGTTAGTATTTGCAGGTGAACATATGCTTATTCAAGACCATGGAGAGAAAAATTCTCTGAAGCTTTATTGGAAGCATCTTAGCACAATTGTAGTAGGATGTTTTTGTTTACTGATTTTTGATCTGTGTGAAAGAGGTGTCCAACTGGTCAACCCATTTTATTCTATATGGGTTACACCCATTGGCACAAACTTGGCACTATCCTTCATCATTTTAGCAGGAATTTCCGCCAGTATCTATTTTATATTTTTGTGTTATATGATCTGGAAGGTGTTCAGAAACATCAGTCTCAAGAGGGCAGTGTTGCCAAGCATGTCACAAGCAAGGAGGTTGCACTATGAAGGCATAATCTACCGTTTCAACTTCCTAATGTTGGCAACTGTCATCTGTGCAGCTGTGACAGTAATCTCATTCATCTTATCTCAAGTCTCCGAAGGTCAGAGCAAATGGGATGAGAATATGGAACTTGAGTTGTCGTCTGCTCTCCATACTGGTGTGTATGGCATGTGGAATGTTTACATTTGTGCCATGCTTATGTTATATGCCCCGAGTCACAAACAGTGGCCTGATGATCCAATTTGCAATGACGGGGAGGAGGTTGAGTTCAGCAGGTTGCCTACAGAGGGCACTGCCAATGAAATTTCATCTTTGACGTCTTTTGCTGCCAAGACAAGCATGGATTAATTTTTTGTGTTTGTGTAACTCGATGAATAGTGGTTGAAATATGAGAATGACGGTAGTTCGTCAACATGTGCATGCATTGCTAAAAAAACAGAATTCATAGTTTATGGTTTGAATCCGCTTTTTTAATCCATCGAAAACATTGGATCCCAAAAAAAAATGAGAAAATACAAAATTCCATGACCTCCCTTTAGGATTTGAGTAAACACTAGAGAATTGTGAAAATAGAATATATGTATCGATTTAGGTAGCTTCTTACATTTATCCAAAGGTGCATTACTTCTATGCTAAGTTTTTTATGGATATAACTTACAAAATACTACACTCATATCTGATATCTGCCGCGTTTTTGTAATTTATATATTTATTATTTATATACATATACAATTTTTATAACTAAAGACTAGATACTGCAATAGTTGCTGGCTTTACATATAAGTAGTTTTCAGTATAATATTTGTTGTAGTATGGAATGGGAGACGATTATTATAATAACATAAACCTGTGCCTGTAAATTAATAGCTTATAAAATCAAACAAGTATAGTTTTAAAGAATGACTGAATTTGCTGTCTTTGGATGAGGTAATACATGAATATTATATCACAGCTTTGTCAAATGTCTCCCACAAAAATATCTCGAACCACTTCTATACAGGTTGTATATGTGTTAGATATAACCCAGAGGTGAGACATTTCATACAAAAAGTACATCGAATTATCAGTGTTATTTTAAATAAAGTTTTGAGTGGATAAAAAATATATATTATTTCCATAATTATGAATGCTTCAAGAATCTTTAAAATATATCTGTCATCAGTATAACCTTAGTGTTTATGCGAAATTGTATCATATTTTGTTTGACATTAGTGTGAGAGCTAAAAGTGGACAAAATCCTAAAGCTAGTAATCTCAATTAGTTTTATAATGATGCAGTTACTCTAGCATATAATATAATCGCTATGCAATAGAAACTTGCTTGAAGTTTTTGTAGTGCTCTCTGTATTATTCTTCAGTATTATTATAGTTGTGATGTATTTTATCTTTACATTATTTATTATAACTTTTGTATTTTTAGTACCTTGTATTTACACTGAAAGTTTTACTAATAAAAGTTGTAACAGTAGATATTCCATTTTTTCAATTTTCTTTTTAAATATTGACAGGCTTCCAATAATTGACCATTGACTTCGCAAAAAAGTGTTTTGAGAACACACAGAAATGATCAGAAGGTCGTAAAACGACGTACAGGAACGTTATTTTCACTCACACGCACGCTCGGTTTTCAAAACCTACAATACTTTTTTATCATTGGCATGTTAGTATGAACCCAGTATGAAAATTCATTAAAATGTAGGTATAGATACTGAGTATCAGATGACAGTCCTAGTGAGACAAGTGAGTGACATACTCGTAGCTTTTGTGATGTAGCTACATGCCCTATCATATCCAAAATACCTATATTTTGATATCAACTGCTTTCATGATTACAATATTCCCTCGCCCATAGGTAAGAAGTCAAAATTCTATACAATTTCGAAGTTACAGACTTGTAATCGCGAAAAATGTCTGTCATCAAGAAGAAAATAGCTTTGTATTCTTTGAAAATCGATCCAGTGGCGGCGTAGGTAAAGGCAAAAAACGGGAAAAATTGAAATTGCTCAAACTTTTTGATGTTTCAGAAGAAATAGTAAGAAATACAAATAGCTAGTTGTGGGGGATATGGGGGAGGGTATATGTATGTATCAATTTTTTGGCGTTAGCATACCAATACATTCCAACTCCGATCATTCTACGCACCTATTGGACATATTTCACACATCATAGATTTCCAGTGCATTAGCTTTTGAAACAGTATGATAAAGGAATATTTTCAACTCGTGGCGTAACGGTGGAACAGCAGCTCAACGAACGTATAGCTGCGTGCGCAAAAGCCTAGGAGTAGGTTTACAATCGGTATGGCAGGCGATAAATTTCTAGATCGTAGCAATGTCAAATGAGTGGGGAGTATAAACTATTTTTCACATGGTCGTAGCCAAATTTTTTCTCCGAGGGGCTAACTTCTGCCAAACAGTCCTTTATTAACTGATGACAATGGGTTTGGGTTGTAGGATTATGGGATACGGTTTGTCAAATTTTGTCCACTACAAAAATGATAAACCGATTTTTTTACTATGTTTTTAGGGATAGGACTGACAGCAGGAAGGAGAAAGAATCATGCAGATCCGATTTTGTAATTGAAATATTCAGATCACAGATTACAAACGTTACACCCATATGCTCTGTGGTTGTAGTGAATTTATTTGCATTATGTAAAATTTGTAAAATATAAACGGAAGCACATGAAATGAATCGTCCATAATTACTTTATAATTATTTTTCATTGTCGTGACAGTTTTATTCATAAGGTCAGGCAGAAAAAACAGTTACCTAGGTTCTCCAGTACAGGTTTTTTATACTTCATACCCAGTCTTGCATTGGAAATGGGTTGATCCAATAAAATAGTTGGTCATACTCCAGTTTTGTAGGCGTGTCCAAATAAGCCTCATTAGCGTAGAAAGTAAAAGGGCTAAAAGTAGTATAATATATATAAGTTATCACTGGTAAGTGAATTGGTACAGCGAAATACGATTCGTGCCTTTAATGGTCCGATTAAAAAAAGATTTGTTAAACATTGGAACTAAAGGAAGTCGACAACTGACTCACCCCTTTGAGCAGCCGTGGGCACCGGCCGTAATCGAAATACGTACCGAAAAGCCCCGAAAATATTTCGATGTAGCTTGACTACCTTGAAATATCTATTTTGAAGTGGCTGTAAATACTTTCAACTAGGGAATCACATCTCTCTGCACATATTGATACATTGATGGTGATTTTTCCACCACAATAACCCCGGCAAGCATGTACTAAAAATCCACAGCATAATACCGTTTTCCTTATACAGGGTGGCGCATCGAAAACAAAACAGACGCATTTACTGGCAGCTAAGTTTCTTTTTAAATGCTCAGACCCGTTGATTTTGTTTTCGAGGGGGAAACAAGTTTGGAAAAAAACACGTTAGCACGTGCAGCCCCCTAAGCGGGGGTGACGCCACCCCCAAAGTCTTAAATGGAAAGCGGGGGGTCGAGTGATACCTTATTTTAAAGATCCTTCAATTCCTTTTTATAATGATATAAAATTAATGTACTTCAGTTCAGTAGTTTTGAAGATTTATTGATTTAAAACTCAAATAAAACTAATAGGTACATCATCATTAGTGGAGATCAATACATTTGGCAGCAAAGTAATTTAAAAATGAAGAATGAAGTGACACGTTAGGCAAGTAAATGTTGAAAATGGCCACCATGACTCTCCATGCAATAATAAAGATCTTGCTCAAAACGGTTGGCGCACATTTTGCAAGATTTGAGGAGTAATTTGAAGGCACTCATTCACAATTCTTTGTCGCAGGTCTTCTAATGATGTTGGCTGAGTAGCATACATTTTGCTTTTTAAATGACCCCACATAAAGAAATCCAAACGTGATAAATCTTGCGATCTTGGGGGCCATTCAATGACACCTCTTCTACCAATCCATCGATCTGGAAACGTCTGATCTAAATATTGTCTAACACGTAATGTGTAATGTGGTGGGGCACCATCCTGTTGGAACAACCTATTCGCAACGTATCGCCGATCATTCTGATTTTCAATTATGGCTGTTTAATGCAGGATCTATGGTGTCTTCCAGTAATTCCAAATACATGTCACCGGTCAAATTTCTAGGTAAGAAAAAAGGACCAACTGAATGATCGCCAAAAATACCAGCCCAAACATTTAATTTTTGTGTCTGCTGTGAATGAACCTCATGATAAATTCTGGGATTAGAATCGGACCAATATCGGCAGTTAAGAAAGATTTACTACGCCATTTACGAAAAAGGAACATTGGTCGGAAAAGCAAGTGTTGAATAGAAAATGCTCATCGCTTATAATTTGTTCACTCATATCTTCACAAAGTTGTAATCGCCGATCAAAATCGTCTTCATTAAGTTTTTGTACCAGGTGAATTTTATACGGATGAAAACTATGGGCTTAACGTAGGATCTATCTACATAAACTGGCCCAAAAACCCCACTTCTATTGCTTCGTTCCTTATGGGATTTTCAATGTTGCGTTTTTTATTGGCGACCGACCCAGTTTCCCTAAATTTAGCTAGAAGTTCTAGAACATATTTTCGATGCCCGTTACTGTTCTCATGTCGCTCATTTCTGCTGTTCTATTAGCGCACTGATTATTTCCGAAAAATATTTCGATTGTTTCAACTTTTTCTGCTGTGGAATATACCATGGTTAATTTGTGTAATAAAGCGTTACAAGTTATTTTAGCAACAAAGTTTGGTCAAATAAATCGCAAACTATGTACTAAATTCCTATTTAAAATAAGTACGAGATATTTCCTTATCTTTCTTCAAGAAATAACCTTTTTGCCACAAAAAAAACGCTCCAATAGCTATTTTCAACAACAAAATGATAAAAAAACCATGGGCGTAGTGAAGAAAAGTATTTACTTAGTAAGTAAATTCTTTTAGTCAAATTTCTGGTGAAAGTAGTACAAACTAATTTGATATACCTATTAAAGTCTACTCTAAGCTTTAAATCAATAAATCTTCAAGACTACTGGACTGAAGTTCATGTATTTTACATCATTATAAAGGGAAATGAAATACCTTTAAAATAAGGTATTACTCGACCCCCCTTCCCATTTAAGATTTTAGGGTTGGTGTCACCCCCGCCCAGGGGGCTGCACGTGGTAACGTGATTTTTTCCAAACTTATGTCCCCCTCGAAAACAAAATCGACAGGTCTGAGCGTTTTTCCAAAAAAAAACTGAGTTGCCAGTAAATGCGTCTGTTTCGTTTTCGATGCACCTCCCTGTATAAGACACCAATAGTCTTTTACAAGAAATCTATACTGTAAACTTGGAACTTAAAGAATGGATTCTTATCCAAAAAGAATAAATGTGGATATGGATGTTATCACAATCGTGCTGTGTGGGGGTTAATATGCTTACGCAGCACTTCGGAAAAGGAATAGGTAGATCACAAATGGATACACCAAGTACCTATAATCTTATGAGCGTGAAGGCGTGGTGCTTACTGTATTGTGAAACATTCCAAATTAATGACATAAATGAGTATTTCAGGAAAAAGTGAGTAAAAATGCGTAACCGAAAAACAATGAAGCAGTGGGTCCATAGAGATACCCTACTGAGGCTGGCCCTGAACTTTTTTCAGGATACTTTGAAGCTACCAGTATTTGCTTCCCTGAAAACTTGTCAATTTATATGCGCTAACATCATATTTACTTGCACCCACCAAAATACCGGACATTTTTTGCTCTCAACAAACATTTTGGGGACACAGTCGTTATACCCAGAATACGCGATTGTCGAGAGGAATTTGATCATCTAAGGTGCCTTGGAAGAGAAGAAACGACAAACGTGTTCAGCAACACCATCGTTATCTCCCTGGTTACTACGTCTATGGCATCAGAAAAATTAATGAGAACTAAAAAATATCAGTAGCCTTCATGAATCTATACAGGAAAGCGCACACTATGCTTTGCATAATCTAACATATCCATCCACATCGGAGAACGAAGCTTCGTAGCGTCAAACATGCAGTGAACATGATATTGGTCTTATTGTTAGCAGTGCATACCCATTATAGCGATAGTGCGGCTATTGTCAATGTAAGTATGCATTTGATGATGCTTTTAATCATTATCATGATGTAAATCAGAATTATCTATCATCATTAGTGACACAAATAACGAAAAAATGAAACATCAAAATTCAAAATCTAATTGCCTTCATTAATTTGTTTTAAGTACGTCTTAAAATGATAAAAAAGAAAAAACTACGGTAATACGATCATGGTACCTTTCCGAAGATCTAACTCCCAAAAAGTGTTCGTCTGCGCTCCACTACTCAGAAATCTAATGAATGATGGATAACAAAGATTATTTATTTAATTTGCGAAAAATATAGGTGACACTGCCACATACGGGTAGTTTTGCCAGTCGCGGAACTGCCGACCCCCTACATATGGTAGCAGTACCCTTATTACGTACCATAAAAGTAGGTTTTTTGATTTTCCTAAAAAAATGTCATTTGAACTACCCGACATTCACTTCATATTCACTTGTAGTAGGCGCGGAATAGACTAGAGGCACACCAGCGGCTACCTAGCTGACATTCTAACAATTTTTTTGACATATCATATTTGTTTACGTAATAATCCTGCAGGAAGCCAGGTTTCCGATACCTCTGAATTGCAGTGACAAGCAGGACCCGGTTCTTACCAACGAATTTGAATAGATTAGAAGGAGACAAGCCTACACGTTGAAATTGCATTGTTTTTCCTGCATACTTTTGGCTAGTTTGACAACCATTGGATACTAAAGTACCAAATCAATACACCGGCGTACATTCTTTCCTCTGGAAAGGATAATCAAGTGGCTATTCGTACTGGATGTACTCACGTGGAGCAAGGTGAAAATACTATGTGTTGCGATATGATTCGCTCAGTTATTGTAAATAAACAGGGATAAATTAAATAAGGCAAATAAATTAAAGTAAATATTTATTAATGGTACAGCATATTCTGCTTAATTCGGAATTTTGATATTGGAAATACCGCGACAACTTGCATGGATCCTACTTAGTTTTTATAAAGAATTGTCGTAATCCGAGCAGATTCTTGGATAAAAGGAAATACTCAGTATATTATGGAAATTCCTGCTATTATACAGTGCTTTTCTTTAATGTCCCCCTCCCTTTATATTTTTTGAACAGATCAATTCAAAAAATTAAAATTTGAGGTAATGAAATTGACGGGTGGATACCATAGTTTAGAGTAAAATTAATAGATGAAAATGTCAAAATGGAAAAAAAAATTATATAGTTATAAACGGGGCTCTTGTAAAGAAACAATCGAAGCGATTTGTATTTATGGTGCGACGCGTAACTTTCACAAGACGGAAAGGATCTTTAATGACCGTTTCCCGAATCGTCCTATCTGTAGTACTTGCGTTGCGACTACTAACTACATGGTTTTGGAGACAAACAAATCGTATTTCGTAATTCGTTGGTCTTTAGCGCCGAATTCCGACTAGAAGTCTCGCTCTATCATCCAACCGGCTTTAGCCACTTGAAACTCAAAAATGAGGTACTGCTAAAAAGAGCTTGAAGAATATTCAAAATGAGCTGTTCCAAATGACTAGTTGCTGACATATGCATAATAAATAAAAATATGTCCATACTTCTAATTTGTAGGGTCGTTACAAACCCATGGAGCCAGCACTAGGTGAAGTACCTTTTCAGGTTTCTCTTTCAATGCGAATAAATGGTTCTCACTATCCATTCTGCGGTGGTAGTCTCGTTCATCCTAGATGGGTTCTTACTGCAGCTCATTGCCTTGAGCAAGATGGAGAGCCATTTCCACCGTAAGTACAGGGTGATCTTCCGGGAATAGGGATCCAACTCAAAATGAGAACACTTTTCTTTCAATGATCGACCTCAAAAAAAATAATACCATTTTCCTCTTTTGATCGATCCTCTACCACAAATTCAGGCGGAATGAAAGTTAATGATGGTAAAGTATACTAAGTGACATATAAATCCGAACACCCAGTTTAAATGGTTTTATTTTAATAAAAGTTGCTGAATGTATTTATCTTACTGTAAATAACAAGTGAAAAAATTTTCAGCGTTATCAGTTGGAAATTCCGGTTTTTTTACTGCTTTTTTTTAATTCGCTAACGCTCTAAAAATGAATATTTCAGCCGCAGTAAAGAATCAACGTTGGCGGATTTTGGTTCTTGACATCCTTTACGATCGGTTACGATGCCTAGAGTACGGAGACCTGTACGATTTCGTCAACTTAGTGAGTTTGATAGGGGCCGTATAGTGGGACTTCGGGAAGCTGGACTTTCTTTTCGGGCAATTGCAGTTAGAGTGCAAAGAAGTGTAGACACTGTGGTTAGGTGTTGTCAGGCATGGCTTCGAGAAGGCCGTACGCAAAGAGCAAGGGGCACTGGACGCCGCCGTAGAACAACAGACCGTGAAGATCGCCGCCTAAGATTATTGGCCTTAAGGGACCGTTTCTCCACTACCAGGTTCATTGCAAATGAATGGTTTGCAGAACACGGAAGACCTATTGGCATGCGAAGTGTTTACCGACGAATGAGAAGTTTTGGCTTGTTTTCATAGCGGCCACACTGGGTCCTCCCTTTAACTCGAGAACACCGACGTAATGACCTTGAGTGGTGCAGACAACGGCCACTCTGGGATCAGGAATGGAACAGTATTGTCTTTAGTGACGAGTCTCGATTTTGTTTAGGCATGCACGATGGTCGTGCCAGGGTTAGAAGGCGACGTGGTGGAAGGAGGAATCCACAGTTTTTTGTTGAAAGACATGTTCATCACACTGTTGGAGTTATGGTTTGGGGTGCTATAGCTTATGGTTCCAGGTCACCTTTAATCTTCATCAGAGGTAACATGAACGCGCAGCGTTATATCCACGAAGTTCTAGAACCCCATCTTTTACCGTATCTTGACACCCTGGCAGATCCAACTTTCCAACAAGATAATGCCCGACCACATGTTGCAAGAGTCACAATAGACTTCTTTCGACATAATGATGTCACATTGTTACCATGGCCACCAAGACCTCCCGACTTATCCCCAATTGAGCACGTGTGGGATATGATGGGTAGGAGATTGCTCAATTTGCAACGTCCTTCTCAGACTCTAGAAACACTTCGAGAGGAGTTGGTGGTTGCTTGGAATGAGATACATTGACCACCTGATCAGAAGCATGCCTAGGCGCGTTGGAGAATGCGTAGCACATCAGGGTGCATCAACACATTATTTAAGGTCAAAGGGCTTTAAAGCAATACAATCATTTTGAAATTTTTATCATTTACTTATTATGCTTCATTAAGTACTTATACAAAATTTTATTAAAATAAAACCATTTAAACTGGGTGTTCGGATTTATATGTCACTTAGTATATTAAAGTTACGCTAGATATTAAAATACAATTTTAACGCTGGATTGAGTTTGTAGTTTAATGAGCAATATGAATTAATTTTTGATCGATACGTCGATAGTGGACAAGTACATTGAAAGCAATAAGTATCTCATGTCACTTTGCTATGTGATTCCGTAAATCACAGAATAACTCACATCCCATCCAAGCTTAGTCGAAAGTATCGGACCTCATACCTCAAGAAAGAAAGATAGTATCCACGTCAGTCTTTGGGACATATTGCAAGACCCAAAGTATCACATATTATGGACTTCACCCAATGGTCAATTTTTGAGGAAATTCGGATAGAGATGGTTCATGTTGTGCTAAAACTAAATGGAACGTTCCATATATTTTTACACTATCCGACTCACGTTTTCATAAATTTCTTCTCATATCAAGTTTAATACTGCTTCGTTAAGCTGCTATCTGATTATTCATGATACAGGTAAAATGTAAGGTGTTTCATTACAGAAACATGTTTGTTATGCCAGGGAATTGTGTAATACCCTGCTATCTCCATATAATTTAGAAATACACACCTATAAGATGTCAATGTTGGTTTTCTATGAAACTACCTTCCGTTTCCGTTGGTACACCTGTATACATTGTTGTTTGAGCGCATTGAAACATTTGATCAGCCGAACGTGGGCTATTACTGTACAAGTTTTCATTAAAACTGACTTGTGGTCAAATTCCGTAATTATGTTTTGTGCCTTGTACTTTCTGAGGTGGTCTATCAAATCAAAGTATGTAATCTTCTGATGCATGAATGAAAGTTGCATGGTGAAACTGACATTTCGATTGTTTTAGACATATGATGTATGCAACAGTAGGAACCATAAACATAAACGGGAAAGGAGGGCAGAGAATCAAAGTTGAAACGTTCATCATGAACCGAAAATATCTAGAATCTGATTCTGGGTATGACATTGGGGTCGTGAAGCTATCAGCTAACGCAAAGCTAGGTGAGTGAACGGTATATCTTTACAAAGGGATATGTCATTTAAAAACAAATACTATGTATCTTTATGTCAGGTAGATTGATCCTGTACGTAGATCCTACATTCATATGATTGAGAGATCCTGACAAAACAACATCGAAGAACCTGATACTGTGCAGACGTAGAGACGCGTAGATTATTTTAAGGAAATGAAAGGTTGTAGGATAGGAAACAGCTTGATTTTTCTATGACAAAATAGTACATTTTGAGCAATAGTAACTTTTTTCAAGTATATGTTTATATAAACGGTAATTGTACATCATACTAGGGCATTTTGATAAACGCGTTTGAACGAATATCTCCTAAACTATCGATTCAACGTAAAAAAAAACTTAAACAGAATTTTGTAGGAAATTGAATTTTGCTACAATAAAACTTATTACATAGTCAACAGGTTACGAGGAATTTATAATGGTTAAACTAGCAAAAAAAAGATTACTATCCTTTTTATTAGAGAATAAAATTTTCTACAAAAAATGTAGGTTCTAATATTTTCTGCAAGTTAATGGTTATCGAGGTAGAGTAGAAGGTAGAAAGCTGTGTAAAAGTCCTCGTGTGATTATATGTACATTGCAGTATCGTTTTACAGAAGGAACCACAAGGTTAATTAAAGCTTTTTGTTTCAAAATAACTTCACTGAATGTATTATTGGTGTAGTTCTGCATCAGAAGAAAATGTAAGGTAATAAAAAGAGTCGTTGCGAGATTCACTTCGGGATTGAGTTTTCAAACCAAATAATGCTATATTATTTCCTACATTACTGTGACAACATTCTTCAAAAGTTTCCAGTCCAATTCAGCTCACTTCACCTCGTATGATACTGGCCTTCTGCTAAAGACTCCTCATTTCTGTATAACTTCAGAGTCATCCAAAGGATAGCCACAAATGAAACAGGTGCTCGTTTTTACAATCTATTCGCGAGAAATCAGAACAAAGGCATACAAATGAATACAAGGGATCACGAAAACAATGACATATTAGTCTATCTATTGCATCTATAACAGAGATATGTGTTCCTATTAATTGTGATAGATAATAGTATAAACTGTGCAAAAATTGTTTTTTATTGCAAGACTAATGCTTCCCTTTATGTTCATGAAAAGTATGAAGACGGTATTGAGTGGAACGTATATGGTGTGCCACAGAAAAGCCACACAAAAGTTCCTTAGCATTTGCCTCTTGTCATTCGAGTCACCAATTTTATGAAAAAAATGCGTGAAACCTTTTTTGTTTACAATTTTACACCCTACTAAAAAGATGGTAGTTTTTCTACGGTATTGTTGTTAGTTTAGCCCATTGATTCCCAAAGTGGTCTAAATCGACCCCTAGGGGTCTATGACAACCTGCGAGGGGTCTACGTCAGCGAAAAAAAATTTGGGGGTCCATGAAATGAATATGGGGGTCCACGATAGTGGATCTCAACACATACACTGATAGTACCTATTTACTTACATCATACTACCTTATAATATCAAAACATATACATTATTTATAAAAGTACCTACATATAAGTAAACAAAATATTATATATGTTTATGAAATTGTGTAAGTTGTAGGATGTTGGTATTCGCTTTGTGGTCGCAATACATTTTGAACTGGTAAAAACCTGAGAGTCGCAGTCTCAGAGCTTCGCTACCTTGCACTGACTTGTTCAATTCGTCACTCTATAAATACGAATGTGAGACAAATACGTTTATTCGTTTCCTGGATCTTGAGAAGGAAAGTGCTAAGAAAATATTTTAAAAAATATAAACAGATAGTATATCACACAAATTATAGTGAGTCAGTGTTATTTTGTTTGAGAGTGCTGGAGAAAAGTAAGTACATTATTTTTTATTAAATTTTAGTTTTGTACTCGTAGTTAGCAAAGATAGATAAATTACGCCAATCATGACTTTAGTTGTTAGTAGTTAAATATTCAATCATGCAAAATTACACGAGTACTCCTCAATAGTTTCTTTTTGAAAGTTTTAGCAATCGGTAATATAATTACAGTGCAATCTCCGTAATTCGAGCTAATTGTTGCAAGAAGATGTTCGAATTATGGAATGTTTTCGGAAAAATCAAAAAATATTTTTAATATACAGCTGCTGGATTTTCTGTCTTATTTAAATAATTTAATTTTGCCCCCAGATGACTGATGCCATGTCCGAATCTAAAAAGAAATGTAGACAGTACAGTGTTGATTATTTGAAATTTGGCTTAATTCCATCATTGCCGGACAAACAATCGCCTATGTGCCTTTTATGCAACCAAGTTTTTGGCAATGACGCTATGACACCATCTAAACTGCAAGATGATCTGAGAAGATGCCACCCTGATAAAACAGAGAAAGATTTGAAATACTTTCAAACACTCAAAGATAAATTTCAGAAGAGACCTACACTGGACAGAATGTTCGCTTCGACGTCACAAAGAAATGATGAAGGTTTGCGGGCGTCTTACAATATCTCGTTACTTATAGCAAAATTCGGAAAACCGCATACTATCGGAGATAAGTTAATTTTGCCAGCCGTTGAAGAGGTTTTAAAAACAGTTTTACACAAACCTGCATCTGATATCATCAAAAGAATTCCCTTAAGCAACAATACTGTTGAAAGACGTATTGATGAAATGAGTTTTGATATTGAAAGCTTCTTATGTAATTATTTGCAAACGACCCATTTCTCTATACAACTGGACGAGTCAACTTTACCTGATAATGCAGCATTATTATTGGCATATGTTCGTTTTATTAGGAATCAAGAAATCTACGAAGGACTGCTCTTCGCAAGAACTTTGATAACCGACACTACAGGTGAATCAATATTTCATGTTTTGAAGGATTACTTCATTGAAAGAGCAATTCCTTTATCAAATATAATATCAGTAGCTACAGATGGAGCACCTGCCATGGTTGGACGTTATCGTGGATTTATAAGCTATTTAAAACAAAATGTGTCAGGGGTGTTAGCAGTACATTGCGTCATCCATCGACAACATTTAGTTGCAAAAAATTTGAGTGTTAGATTGCATGAATCACTTCATTTAGTCATTGATGCAGTAAACCGAATCCGAAGCAACGCGTTGAATACGCGGTTATTTGCGCAGTTGTGTGAAGAAAATGACGAACACTTTCATCAATTACTCCTTCACACCTAAGTACGCTGGCTGTCGAAAGGCTTATGTTTGACAAGATTTTTTGCACTTTTTGAGACTATTTTAGAATTTCTGGATACTAAAGATAAAATTTTAAAAGAAAATTTAATGAAGAGGAAAACAGACATCGCCTATTTAACAGATTTGTTTACAAAATTCAATATGGTAATTTGCAATTACAAGGCGACAGTTTAAATTTGATTAAAACCAAGTCCATCTTATCAGCGTTTCTTGCCAGAGTTAAACTAATGAAGCAAAATATTGGACGGGGCGAATTTTCTCAGTTCCCCAATTTGTCACAGCCAGGAAGACGACGTTTCAACTTACGTTCAACATTTAAATGTCCTCTATTCAGATTTTGAATCTAGGTTTGAGGATATTTTGACTATGGTAATATCATCGTGGATAATTAATCCATATGGTGACATAGAAGAAACGAATGAATAATACAAGAGGAACTGACTGAACTAAGTTCAAACGAAGAACTTAAGGTTCAGTTTAAAAACGTATATCAGCAATTCTGGCTGCAAAACAACATACCCGTTACTTATCCCGTATTATGGAATATAGCGAGGAAATTTGTAATTTCCTTTCCATCGTCATACCTAGTGGAAAGGGCTGTTACTAATCTCCTAACGAAAAAAAGAAACAGACGGGACATCATTAGCCCAGGAGATTTAAGATTAACCCTTACAGAATTGACGCCAAATGTTGATAATTTATTATTAAAGCATCAGTTTCATCCTTCTCACTAACAGTATTGACTTATTGCTTATTGCTATTTTATTTATAGTTTATTTTATGTTTATTGGTGTCTGACCAATAAATGTCCGCATTGGGAATAAGTTTCCGCATTGATTTTTTTAAAGAACCCCCCTTTATAGAAAATATTTTTTTTTAAATTATTTAGGAAATTTAATGATAGGTACACACTAAAATTCGTTAATTTTTTGCCTATTTTTAGATAACTTAAATGTATAAGAAGCGGAATTTAACCAAACTAATAGTGAAATTAAAGTAGAACATACGTTTATGTTATAATTAATAAAGGAACTCGCTTATTGTACTATTTTAAGTAAAAAACTTTTTTTTATTATTTTCCACTTTTTTTATTTTATCCCTCTTATTTTTTTCCAATGCTGGCACTTATTCCCAATGCGGGCACTTATTGGTCAGACACCTGTTTATTTAATGTTACGTATATTTTACATAACAGATACAAAATTTTATTTTATTTAAATTCAATTAATAAATGTATAAATTGGCATGTGTTTTTACTATAAGTTTTTAATACTAAACTTCACTACAGTTAGAAATTTACAGGAAATCAATATCAGGTAAGTAGGGGGTCTACCCAACACGGAAAAACATGGCAAGGGGTCTACGACACAAAAAAGTTTGGAGAACTCTGGTTTAGCCAGTAGAAGTGAAAATATGGTTACATGTACCTTTAGCTTTAAATTTCTAGGAAACTGCTGGCGAAATCGCAAATTTACAGAAAAACAAGATTTGCAAGAATTCAATTCTCTACAAAATTGTTTCTATTAATTTTTAATATAGCATCTATAGTTTACGATCAAACGCGCTTATCAAAAGCGCTGCAAAAGCAGTAATCTAACGGTGCTGTAAAAAAAAATTTACTGTCACCCAAAATGTAGGACCTGGTTATTGTGAGACAGCATATTTAATGAAGTTGACGTCTGATTATGGATTAGTGATTGCTAGTACAATACATAAATTCATGAAAGAAATTATTTTTAGGCAGAAACGTTAAGCTTATAAAGCTCCATGTCAACAATAAAGAACCCTTAATAGGAAGTACAGCTTATTTAGCTGGGTTTGGCATTATTAATGGTGAGTGATTTGAGGTTTGAGGTGTGTGCTTGAGCTGCGAGATACTAGCGACAACATACTGTACAAGGGCGTACCCAGGGGAGCGGGGCAAGGGACGCTGCAAAAATGAAATGCATAGAGCACGTTTTACAGAAAATAAGTCAATCATGTACAGAGCTGTCCACAAGTTAAATCAATATTAGATGAGAAATATCTAGGATTAGTTTAAATTTATGTTAGATAAAAATTTAATTTTGCTAGAAGCACTAGACATGTTACGTGTGTTTCAAATTTGGACTTCGCCTTCGGAGCTCGGAAACAGCAAAGCGAATATCAGACGATGAGTATTTACTGTGGCGCCATCAGTGGATTTCTGCGTAAAGTTATGCATCAGTAATTACTGACGTCCGTGCTAAACGATGATCAAATATCACATCTCATGACGAGTATATTGACGGATCACAGTAAATACTGATCTTATGACATTCACCTAAACGACTCGGAGTACTTTATGAGGGCAAGTTGCGAACGTAAATAAAAAATGGAACTTGAAAAGTTTGTAAGTTCTAAGTAACTCCGAATTTATGTTTTTAACATTTCCTGGCTTTAGTCCGAAACAAAACTTTTCAAACATTCACAATGCCTACAAATTCCAAACAAATTACTCAATAACATTACCACTTTTTCTCCTCTACTCGGTGGCATAATAAGAATTTTAGTCTGACGTCTGAGCTCTCAGTTTTCTAAATTATACCGGTTTCGATGCCTTCATTATCACCCTTAACTAATATCAATGAGTTACACTATGTAGTTCCTCATTCGATGAGTTTAAACCAACTATATGAGGTTAAGCACCTTATATCTATATGTAACATGTTATCTTTGGTATTCTATGAAATAAATGACTCAATGATAATTCAAAGGCTTAATGAGGATTTTTGTATACTTATATAATAATATTTTATGTCAGTATGTAAATATGAAATAATTTTGAAAACGAAAAACTGATTTCTATATATGGGGTATTTTTATTAAATATGGTCTTTTACAGTTTATTGGGACTAGTTTTTGAACACAACGTCTATCAAAGTGGCCACCTTTATTGGCCAAAACAAAATGTGCCCGTTTTGCTGCGTTTTCCATTACTTTTTCGAGCATCTCTGGTGGTATAGCGACGATTGCGGTACGAATGTTTGCTTTCAGTTCTTCAGTGGTCTGGGGGTTGCTGGCGTACAATTGACTTTTCAAATAACCCCACAAGAAGAAGTCCGGTGGGGTCAAATCTGGAGACCTGGGTGGCCAGTCAATGTCACCTCTTTTTGACATCAGACGTCCAGGGAATTTTCGTTGCTGAAACTGGATTGTTTCATTTGCAGTGTGGCATGGCACACCATCTTGTTGAAACCAGTAACCATCAGGACCTTTTTCACACATTTGTGGGCAGACATAATGAGCCAACATCCACCGATATCGATTGCCATCGACTGTTTCGTTTTCGTTGGAGAAAAATGACCCAATGATGGTTTTGGCGCAAACAGTCACTTTCCTATCATGCAACGGCATTTCGTGGGTCTCATGTGTGCTTATTAACGCCGCCAAAGAACGTGAAATGGGCCTCGTCGGTCATCACAATTTGCTTCCAAAAATCAGGTTCAGCATCAACCATGCGAGCGATTGTTTAAATGCAAATCATCAGAATTAGTATATTATACCCCGGGATGGTCAGTTGGCAATATTTTTTGTGCTAACTGCACCTTATAAATGCAAATCATCAGAATTAGTATAATACATTATACCCCGGCTTTATCAAAATTTAGTCCTTTGAAGTAGCATATTAGAATGTACTCTAAAAAATGTGCAAGATGCCATTAAAAAAATGTTGTTCTTGTCATGTTGGTATGAGTCAGCCTCTAATTTTTGTCAATAGCATGTTTAATTATGTTTTATAGTAATGGAGATATTGCCCAATTACGCACTAACAATCATCCTGTATGTCTAATTTGTTGCAGCAGTTACGTCGCTGGATAGCTTGGTCATTTTCGAAGGTTCTATTCCAGGTTAATCGCTCGAAGGCTCCAACGTTTGCACTTTTCAGCAAAAAGGAACAATTTTCTGCAATAACTAATAAACAATTGCAACAAACTGGACATACCCATTAGTTCTGATTTTAAAGGTGTTTTCATCTCTTTTCCAATTCTTAAAAAGTTACCCAGAATTTTGTATTTCGAGATGAGAGGCCTTCGCAATCACTCCAAAGAATATATAATTCCTTCTGTACAATTTCTTTTACAGCAAGGTTCACATTTGGCTAGTTAGCCTGATCAAATAAGTTTTGTGACGTTTCTAGATACATATTGTCACAGGAGTTTCCCGATTTTTCAACGAAGATTCCACTCCAATATTTTTGAATTGCACACCTCTGGTAGTATTTGGAGCTATACGAAAGTGACTTGGTTATTAGAATCTGAAGAACGAGTTTTGTCGGATTTCACACTCTTTCAATCCTTTCAATAAGCTCTTGACTAGGTCTTAAAGTACCATTGTCATCAACAATCAATGTTTGATTTCTTTCTGAATCTTGTCTAGAATGAAACTTGCGTTTAAGTTCATGAAAAATGAAAGAAATACTAATTCAAGTTTGGGGTACTCATAGATTTTGTGGTTCAAGTTATAGAAGGATTTCACTGAAAAAATGAGCAGCACCCTGTCTGAATTTTGAGGAATATGTAAGCAATGCAAAATTGTAGCATAGCAAACATGTTGTGTCATATAATATGATCCCAAGTGATGCTTTCAAGTATTGAAAACGACTGAATTGTTACTCAAAAAGGCATCTCGCGCAATATTTGCTTGAAATTTTCAAGGAAGTCATAGTAGTTTTCCATGTCCATATTAATCGTCAAATTGTTCTGAAAGACTCTATTTAAATGCAATGCAAATGGAAAGAAAAATATCAAATATAGTTTTTGGAGTCGCCCTTCCGTTTTGAGCTGGGTACGTCCTTGATACTGCACGCTGTAGCTATAACTGCATTTGTTAACTGCATTTCCAGTATTGCTACAGAACTATTTTTAGTACATATTGAATTGTGGGTTGATGCCCATTACAGCAAGCTACTATACATCAAAATTATATGCAATTATTTTGCAATCGTTTGTAAGCCGCTGAACCTATGACAATATTATTGCATAATTACATCTATCTAATAATTATTTTCAGGGGCAGATAAATATGCGATATTTCATTTATGGCACGTGCGTTCCAATTCTATATCTTTCTACAGTATTTTCATATAATCGGAAATGTTAATGTCATTTTCAGTCATTGGAATATATTTTTAAAATATACAAGCATTAAATAATATTCGCGTGTACGAATCCCGTTAATTCAATTTTCGAGACATACCCGAATATCATAACAAATACTGATATACTGACGGATAGGACATGTATTAGAGGACGACTAATGAATGAACTGCAATCCAAAATCTATTATGCCGTAGTATTTTGAAAAGCTACTTGCCTACCGATGTAAAAAATTTGATTACACAATCTTAAGCAAAAATCAAAGAATTCATAATATTAGTAACCCGGTACTTTTAATTTGCTATTGAATAATTTGCTACTGGAATAATTATATTGATTCTACACCATTTTGCTCAAATAATGATCTACAGGGCTTATCGAAATGGACATAGTGAAATGGTAGTTAGTATGAATCAAGACCGTTAAACATCTGAAAATGAAAAAGCTCTAAATTCAGTCTTTACGTTATTTACCTAAACACGACAAGCCTTTAATATCGTGTCTCTTAGACAACATCGACAACAATAATTTTGCACGATAACAAAGTTATCTAGGAGCAAAGTTAAACTAAACGAACGGTTAAAAAATCCAAGCCTCGACCTGATTTTTTCAACATGTTTGTAGTTTTCAAAACCAACCCCTTTAAAGGTGGTCAATCAAATGATTGACTATTAACCAAAATAGCCAACTGTTGTTGGTATATCTTTTTATTCATTTAAATATCTTACTTTTATGTGACACAGAACTCAAAATTTCATTTCATCAACATTTTACAAAACGGTAGAATTGAGTTGAAGATACTTTGAGAACATACATATTCCAGGGCAGGATTCTATCTTGTTTATTAATTTTATTAAGCTCAACGCCGTAAGTTATACTCTGAGTTTATTATTACTTCGTAGAAAAGAAATATAAATACCTATTGCTAGTCACCCTATTAACTTATTGCAGTAATTTCTTAGTGATTCACTTCACTGTCAACTGATATTGTACAACAACTAGAATTGTGCTTAAAAGGGAACGGCATTTAGTATGTAATTTGACCATTCCGTACAACTTGAAAGTAAATTATAAAACCAAAAAATCGTTGTATGAAGGTCCCTACTTGACATTTAGTTGCGTGATGTACCAGGGGTGCAGTATTTAACTGAATCTGATGTCGGGTTGTGGTGAAAGCACGTAAATTATTACTATTTAAAGTATTAGTTTATCTAAAAGTTACTGAAAATGGGCTGCATAACATTTGTTTTCCCTTTTATTTGATGCAAGTATGACTCTTTTTATTGCGAAGTAATAATGATGTCAGAGTATAACTTGCAGAGGGCGTTGTGCTTAATAAAGTACAAGCCAAAATGAACCCGACCCAGGAACTATGTGTGACTGTTTTTAAAATAGTCAAACATTTCAATATTCAGTGCGAAAGTGTTGATTTTGATAAGTAATATAAAAGTAGAAAAAATCCCGTCCGGTCCTGGACATCTTAATCGTGCGTCTAATTCTACTTTACTCTTAGGCAACGTTGTTATCGTATGAAATTTCAAAATAAAAAGATCAGTAGTGCCCATCACATGTGATATTAAAGATTTGGCATGTTTGGATGAAAACTGAATTTAGAACATTTTCATTCTCAGATATGAAAAGACCTTGGTCGGTACTCCCTACCATTTCACTACTCGTGCGTTCTATTAAGTACAGGACACCCTGTAGGTAAAAATAATAATCTCATCCAGATATGTAATGTGTTAGATCTTACGAAGCTTAAAAACTTTTATCTTAGGCTAAAAACAAGATCCTACTATCTTACGTTTTGCTTTACGAGATCTGCAAAGGATAATGCCGGAATACGAAAATAGACATGTAGGCCAACTTTGACCTTTTTCACTCCCCATGCCTACTGGCTACTACTTATATTGTAATCTGTCCGTCCGCTAATCCTTGGCCCATCATGAACTTGAAAAACACTTCTGCTCGGATTTCGACCAACTCTTTGCACAAGGTTACTGCTATGCTAAGGACGAAAAGCTTTATACCTTTTGAAAATCGGTTCACTGACGGCGAAGAAAAATACCAAAAACTAATAAATTAAAATAGCTCACACTTCATTTTTGGAAGTTTCAGAGGATCCTGATGGATTTTGAAAAGTTATTTTGGTGGCACAAAATAATAAAAAATGGGGGGAGGGCTGTAGGGGCGGGGTGGTAGAGAGTGTATCGCAATGTTTTGATCTTAGTTCATTAATATTCTTCTAACCATAGCAATTCCAAGCAACTATTAGACATATTTCACACATCATAAATTTCCCCGTACATTGGCTCTTGAAACTAGGAAACACAATTTCAGCAGACGGAATGTGCACCTGTCGGTCGCCCTATCATGTGGCGTGGACTTTCAAATATCGTATCTTTGGTAGTGGATGCGCAAGATTTTAGGTACCAGACGTCGCGAAATGCACATACGAGGTGGGCGCGACATCTGTATATTTGTATTCGAGCACGAGTTTAATTCAATGAGGTTACTTGATTTCATGAGGTAAGATTATATAAAATAGTTTATAGAGTATCTAAGTAGGTATCCAGAACTATTAAAATCAGTTACCAGACATTGTTGATAATTAGTTTTACACGAGAACTCCAAAGAAATTAAGGTATCAGGTGACAACATAGTCAATGCTGCAATACGAGGAATTTTTTTTTCATGTTAAGGCCAAATAGTGCCCTGACGGTTCTGACAAAGCCTACTTCCTTTTGATGCCATTGCTCTATTTGATTAATTGTAGGTACTAGAAGTTGTTTTGAAGGAGGGTGTAGTATACTGACGATCTACTTGACTTTTTTTTACCTGGGTACCAACACTTAGTGCCGTCTCGCACAGGAACGCCATGGCGGCGTCGCCAGCATCTGTAGCCAAATTCACCGATTGAAATATTATGGCTGCTGACTGTTGTAGCGACGGACGCCAAAATCAATGAATACAAGCGCATGTGACGTTGGCGTTTGTTGTTGGAAGGCATTGGAATGCGCTCGTCTACACGTCGTCGACACTTAAATTTAGTTTAGATTTGGACCGTGTCGGGTTGGGTTCGGTGCTAATGTCGAGCCACGAGTCTCCTCTCATCGAACGCTAGAAGCGCAACAAATCCTGTCCAGACCAAATCAAACCTCCCTTTGATATACCGATCAATGAGCGAACGCAATCGAACGACAACGCCGACCTTGGAAACCGTTGGCTCATGTTGGCTCGCGCCGTACACACCGATTCGAACACCTCCAAACCTGTAACCATATTTGCCTTGGCTTGCGTTGGAATCTCGGTCCGTACGCGGCTTTACGCTAACAATGCAACCAGCACCAAAACTCACATATATTCTATACTATCTTTCTTGAATGTGACTTTTAATGATCATTCCTTAATATTGTTGTAGATCGTTATCAAGAACCAGTTAGATTACGGAAGGCAGTTCTACACATAGACTATCCAAGCAAATGTTTCGTCAACACTCCTGCAGACTATCCGGAAATATGTTGCACGTCCACTCTCTCTGAGGGTAAAGCATGTAAAGTAATTTTCTTTTTCAAGCTTGCCACCTTAATCTGAATAGACAACATTTTATATTGTGTAGTGGTTTTACAAAATTGTTCAATTGCTGCTTTTGTTGCGCAAAAAACGAAGAGCTCATAGTATTCACCTTGATATGCCCACAGGGTGAGATAATAATTGCCCCACCTGTTTGACGATAATTAGGAAATGATGTTTATCAGTTCAAATAAGCACATTTTTCCTCGCTTAGTTCTTTTTTTATTTTTTAGAATTTAATTGATTTTAATAAGTGTAAAAAATAACCTATTAACAGATGAAATAATGAAATTTAAGGCTAGATCATCAAAATATCTGCGTTTGTATGCAACCGCATTGATGTATTTATGTACCGAAGACGGGTGTGTTTCTCAAGAAGCAAGAATTATGTTTGGCTTAATTGTTTAATTTCAGGGTGATAGCGGAGGTCCATTGTTCATAATGCGAAATGGAAGACATATACAAGTGGGCATTACAAGTCACTTGGCTATTCTACCAGTGTGTATAGTAAATTTCAACAACTCTGTCTACACAAGAGTGTCTGCGTATATTGGCTGGTTGCTGAGAGCTACTGGCATTGATTTCACCAAGTACAACCAAAACTAATGTTATTAAAAGGATATTTTGTGCGTTCAGTATAATGTGTTCGAAACTGTACTGAAATAAAGTTGAGACCGAGCCAACCTGCTTGACGGTATTTGTATTTCAATTTTGGTAAGCCAACTTGTTCCCCCTTCATGAGCGGAATTATAAAAAGTTTGCCTGGGGAGGAGGCAGCGACACACTTGTTGCAATTTTTCCAAGTATGAATGATTAAACTTATTTTATCCATTGTTATTCTTCCTCTACCTGCCACGCATTAGCGAAGCAATTTGATGCAATTTATTCTTCTGCACTGAAATATTTGTTTTCATTAACAATCGTTGCATAGTTTTTCCCTTCAAGGTAAGTATACATTGATTTTCTGTACAACACACTGTGCGCTTTCCAGGTGTACAGTTCGTTTGCTTTTTCTACTTTACACATTTCACAAATATTTGGGGTCTCCGGTTTAAGACAATTTTGATCTCCAGCTCATCTTAAACAATTTTGTACTCTTCATGTGTATCAGAATGCGGAAAAAGTAACAGATATCGCTGTTACTTTAATTTGAACTCGAGAGAACCAATTTGACTATGCGTGCCAAGCGGTGCACAGCACATTAATGGTGTCCCTGATGACTTTTTTCTTATTCATTATTCACACCAGACATCGTGTGATTGACTTACTAACAATCAATGGTACCTAAGTATCCACCCGCTAACTTTTCCCAGGGTGTCTTACAAGTGTTCGCTTGTTTCCACACCTAAGCTATGCAGTCGGTTATGATAATGGATCCTCGAGCACTAAGAATTCCGGACGTAAACTAAATCCACTCTCGGAATGTCCGGGTGGAGGGCGGGCTCGAGGGAACAACATAGGAGATAAAATTTATTTTACAAACATCGGCGAGATTAACAGCAGCATTGATGCTGTTCATCACTTCCTGCAACCTAATCGTCCCGCCATGCTTTTCTTTGCGGAGACAAAAATCTCAGAGTCTGCACCGATTAACCATCTTACCTTTCTACGAGGTGCAATCCAAGCTTAGAAAGAACGGGGGAGTTGTGGCTTTTGTCCGCAGCAGTCTTTCCTACTCCAGAAATGTTTCTTTTGAATCAAACCGGAAGAACATTATGTGGCTTCGCCTCAACTCCAAAACATCACCCAAATGTATTTGCTGCCTTTATCGCTCTCCCTCGAACCATAACTGGGATGACCTATTAGAATACCTTACCTCGCTCCAGAGGTAGTTCTTCTCGGTGATTTCAATGCCGATAATGAGCTTTGGTTGGGCTCAAACAAGACTGATGCAGCAGGTCGTGCAGTCGAAGCGTTCGCTCTTTCTCAAGGGCTGACCCAGCTGGTGACGAGCCCTACTTTTTTCCTCCGCGTCTCATCACTCGCCAGTAGCTTGCTGGATCTCTTTCTGACCATGCATCCTGTCCCTTACAGCACTCCTGTCCTGTCCCCCTTGGGTAACTCAGACCACGGTGTTGTGGAGGTTAGGTTTCGGTCAGAACCCGCTGTGACAGCAGAAACTCGTACAGGCCGCAACACTTGGCATTACGGACATGCTGACTGGGAGGGGCTCAGAGACTTCTCTACCTTTCCTTGGAGAGATGTCTGTTTCACTGACGCGGATGCGTCGGCTGTCTGTTCTTCGATAACTGAAATTATCCACGTCGGAATGGATGAATACATCCCTCACATAGTGAAAGTGCCTTTACCAGGTTCCAGCGGCTGTTTTAACAAATCGTGTGACGCTGCTCGCCAGCAGAAGATCAAGGCACACAAAACCTTCTCACAAAACCCCTCTGTAGAGAACAGACAAGCCGACGTCGAGTCTAGAAACAAATATAACGAATCGGTTTGCAATGCCAAAAACCAGCACGATATAAAAGCTAAGCCCAATGGCAGTCGGTCTTTCTGGACGCTGGTCAAGCAGATTAAAAAGAACGTCTCACATAGTACCCTCCCACCACTAACGTGTCAAGATGGAATAATTGTATTCGACTCAAAGTCCAAGGCGGAAGTGCTGGCCAAAGTCATTGCTGAAAACTCCACCATGGACGTCCTCCCCAACGCCCAAGTGCCGTTAATTCAAAGGGTTCCCTACACTATGCGGGAGGTAACATTCAGGCATAAGACCGTAAGATGAGTGCTCTTGTCGCTCGACATCAACAAAGCTTCTGGTCCGGACTTGATTCCTGCCGCTGTACTGAAGAGGTGTGCAGCGGAGCTTGTTCCAGTTCTTTCGCATCTCTTCCAGATCTCTTATGAATCCGGCACCTTCCCAGAAAACTGGAAAAAAGGGATCTAAGACCGACCCTTACAAGTACAAGTCTATAGCTCTGCTTCCTGTTATAAGTAAGGTGATGGAGAGGTGCATAAGTCGCGAACTTCACAGCTTGATTAGCGACAGGCAATATGGTTTCCGGTACCAACGATCCACAGGGGATCTCCTGGCTTACGTCGCGCAATTGTGGAGTAAACTCATCCAGTCTTATGGTGAGGCCCTTGTCGTTGCTCTTGACATCACGAAAGCGTTCGATCAGCTGTGGCACGCTGCCCTCTTAAGCAAACTTCCCTCCTATGGCCTTCCAGAAAAGCTTTGCAGATGTGTGGTTGACTTTATCTCTGGACGCAAGGTATCCGTCGTAATTGAGGGGTTCTCCTCTTAATCCCACAACGTCAACGCGGGTGTTCCCCAAGGATCAGTCTTGGCTCAGACACTTTCTCTTACATATTAACGACCTCCTTTCCTGCTCGATCAACCCAATCCTCAGGTTCGCTGATGACAGCACTCTACATGCAGGAATTCAGAGTAACAAACCGATCTCTGCCGCTGAGCTGGAAAAAAGAAGGCTACATCCTGTCTTACAAGAGGCCTGGAGGCTATCACTGCTTAGAGACCCAACAATCTCGTACTGTTGAATGCTTCCAAAAACACAGTACAGTACTTTGACGAACAAATTGCGTCCTAGCGCTCATCCGGTTTCGAAGGACGGCCGAGCTCTGTCAAAGAGCCATTCATTTCGGCTGGTCGGAGTCCAGATTACCGAGGACCTGATCTGGCACGAACACATCTTGTCAATAGCTGCTGCTGCTGAGAAAAAGCTAGGCTATTTGTTTAGGGCTGAGAAGTACTTTTTTCCGCATGACCTTTTCACTCTATGGAAGGCCCAGATAAGGCCTAGCCTCGAGTATCGATGACTCTTCTCTAACAGACAGCCTCGGAACTCTTTCGCGGGCCGTCGGCGATCTAGCTCTTTTCTACCGCTACACCAACGGGCTTTGCTCCTCAGAGCTCTCTTCCATGATGTTGCCGCGTGATGTGCCTGCCAGACAGACAACAATAACTTTGGCGTACCATCCTAACCGTGTCGAGCTTCGTACATCCTGAACTGGGCGATATGACCGCTCCTTTGTCCCGAGAGTGTCGAGACTGTCAAACAATCTACACGAGGAAGCCTTTCCCAGTTTTACTAACCTTAGGCAGTTCAAAAATCGTATTAACAAAGTTTCTTGGGGATCATCATAGTAGCCGCGGTGTTCCGTCATTTAGAAATAAGATGCTTGAGCTGTTTTTGTACAATAACTTTATTCATATCAATATATGGACAAATGTTTGGTTTACAATTTGCATAAATAAAATTTAAATATATTTAACAAACATTTTAATTGCTGCATACTAAAAACTCAAAAAGATGTGGTATAACATAAACATTTTCATAGTGGTACGACAACATTTAACAATTGTTTCATTTAGGTTTGAGGCATATCGGGAGAACTATAATAAGGTTTTAGTGTACACAAATAGAATACATCTACATCATAATTTGAATATCCCTGTTCATTGCGGTTTATAAAACATAGAAAATCGTCAGGCCAAAATCTATTATAAATACATATTGCCAGCGCTTAAGATACCACAACACTGCAGCGATCAATGTCAGTGTGAAATTCACACATTCAAAGAAATAGTGTTTTCCACCGGCATGCACTTTTGCACTATTTACGCACGTCTTATTGGGCTGTGCTGCCAGGTTCTTCAGTGCATTTTTCTTTGTTATCGTGTGCTCCTCTGGGAACATCATTGCTAGTTTACATTATCTTCCTAAATACTACGTCGTTTGTACAAGTTCCTCAAAATTTGTGAACTTCGCTATGGTGGTATAAGCAAGAAATATGATAAATAATAGGTCATATACATAACTCAAATAGGTTGTGGAATAATTGATGAATATCCGTCCTGCATTGATTGTGTTTCCGCACTATTGCGCTTCCACTTCATATTGCCCTACACCGTTACCGGAATTGCAATTCCATTTGCGATGACTTAGTGCATGTCAGTGGAGAACGATATTAGTATCAAATGGAAACTGACAAATCAAAGAGCCCATTTGGATGAGTATGATGACTTGGCCCCCAAATAGCAACATATACAGGATGTCTGCAAAAGGTTGGGAAACATCGAAACTGGAGATACTACAAACCAAAATATGGTGTCAAAGTTACAATTTTATTTATTATTTTTCCTTATTGCTTGATAAGTATATCAGATGCTGGCACAAAACTCGGTATAGGGAGGTTTTCTAGTATGAGAAATAAAAATCCGTTATTTTTTATGGCCAAACTTCTAGAGGGCGTCATAAGTTCCAATGCATTATTTGTACCATGATGATAAAATACTTTTTTAACACAATAATCAAGTTGCTTTGCATAACATCTGAGTAGCGTTGTTATGGTTTCTAATGTTTGTCATAATATTGCTTTAAACTTCATGAATAAGTTTAAGTTGACAATTAGTTCTTAAACATCATGGAGTATACGTTTGATGAATATTCTGATATTTATTTAATGTACGGATTTGCAAAATGTTGCTTTAAAAACAAATATCTCAAAAAATATTAGTTTTAGACACTTCTAACATGTAAACCTTTTTTGTTGTGGAAGTACGAGATAATAAGATTTTTCGGTCAGTTGTTTTATACAGAGTAGCACAAAAAAGTTATGATAAGTTTTTTACCGAAATAGTGCTGCAAGTGGCGCCCCCTATATGTTTGCTATAAAAAATATCGGATTTTTGTTTCTCATACTTGAAAACCTCCCTATACCGAGCTTAATGCCAAAATCTGAAATACTTCTCAAGCAATAAGGAAAAATAGAAAATAAAATTGAAACTTTGACACCCTGTATCTCGCAAGCTACCAACTTTTGGACTGAGGTATGTTTAGGTCAATCCACATATTTTGGTCTGTAGTATGTCCAGTTTCGAGATTTCTCAATCTTTCGCAGACACCCTGTATAGAAGTCTATGATTTAATATCGTTTACGATTAACAAATACTTCGCGGCTGAGCTCCGCTGTAATTATCATCTATTCAAACCAGGTTGAATACGTCACGTGTTATATCTCGAAAACTAATTACGATGAAGGACTGATTGCAATGTGAGGTTCTAGAAAACTTTATAGAGTATATTATAGAATCTTTTTAGATGTTTAAAATCATACTACAAAAAAAAGAAAGTAATTTCGAAATTAATCTCGTAGTCTTGATTCCTCGACGTTTTTTGTTATTACCTCGAAATTCCCTTCAAACGTTTTGATCGCCATATCCCTTAATTTTTATCGAATTTGTCTTAGGCCTAACACAGGTCTTATGCGCCCTCCTGTTTACTATTACTGTTGGAAAACATATTTAAGCATAGTAGTAATTTGCCGGATCATTTCCGGGACATGATAAGAAGCCCGAATTGCAAAACATGTCACCCCATATATATGAATTTTTTTAGATTTTTCAATTTTTGTAATTTTTCAACAATAACCCGAAATATATTTTTCGTTTTCAGTATTTCTTAGAACAGGGTCGTAACTAGTATTAAAAATTACAGTAAGCCAAAAAATTACTGAAAAACACTCATATTATCATATTTTTTACAAATAGACGGTCAAACCAATGTAGATCAGACCATGATTTCATAATAATGGTTCCCCTTTTACCTCAAAGGTGATAAAAGGAGCTAGAAAGTAAATAAATACCTGACTACCATCTCGCGAGCTCGGCTTGAACTGAGAATGACTTCTGAGAAATTAGTATCTTTATTAGAAATAGTTATTAAAATGATCATTTAAGAGCATTTTAGAAATCTGACAAGTCGTTCTAATAATTTATAGTTTAATGTACGAGTAATTCTTAACAAAATTGTTCTGAGGAAAACTGAAAAGGAAATCATTCTGTTTCTTAGAATAACTGTTAATTTCTTTGTATAGTTACTATTTTCGGACTTTTCACCCGACTGTAATTTTTTGGCGCGTGGGTATGTACACCTATGTATCTTTGTAACAAAAGATTTATAAAAACGAAATGGCGGATTTTAATAAGACAATCAACCTTAAAATTCCTATTTCACAAGCTGAAGCTTAAACAGCTTAGTTGCTTTTGATATGAGAGATATTCTTGAATTGTTCTCAGCAGTACGACAAAAATGTTGACTACATTCAAATTTACTAAAAAAATTGCGGATGTTGAAGATAGGTTTACCCTTGAAACTCCTATTTCACAGGCTACTGCTTAAACGGCATGATGGATTTTGACATGTGAGTGTCGTTAGTTTTGCCTTAGCACTACAAGTGATGGTGGGATTTATAATAATAGAATGGCGAATTTTAATAAAAAAAGTTTTAAATTTCTGCTTCATGCGCTACAGCTTAAACGTCTTGATTGATCATGGAAGAGAGAGAGAGTGACCCGATGTATACCAAAATTTTATAAGATCAAAATGGTGGATATTAAGCTTAAGCCTTGAAATTTATGTCTCATGGGTTAAACTTGAAATGACTTGATGGATTTTAACATTTGATTAGTCTTGATAGCACAATAAAAAATACACTCCTTTGGGTTACTGTAGTCGGGTTACAATCGCTTAATTTACGTGCAAACCAAGAAAATCTATCATACGAAGCTTTTTATTACTTAGGGCAAAATGTCTTTGTTGGTATATTACAGAAATTGAAAAACTTCGAAAACTGTTGATTTTATTAATTAATGTCAATATTTAAGCTGTTGGATCCATTTTAAGAAGAAAGCTTTATACGAGAGATATATAATGTCTCTTAATACCAGTTCAGATATTTCAATCAGAAGCATTTTTGATGTACCACATTATTTACTTTATTTTCTTCCACCCGAGGCGTTTGTTTGGAATTTCACTTGTCTACTTTAGCAGACATTGATTTTTCTTCAAATAATAATCACTCTAGAAATCCCCAGTCATTTATAAACATATTCGATTGCTTACTTTTTTCGATTCAATGCACGGCTTTCGCTTAAAAAAATGAAAACCGTTTCTCTGCATGATCATAACAGTATCGCTTACTTTTTTAGGCGAAAACTGCTCGTCGGAATAAAAAGATTCAAGAGATCAGATCTTCTCATAAATGAATACAGACTCTACTACTACTTGAAGGATGAAGTCTTTCACGGCTAATTCTAATTTCATTTAGGTTTTTCGGGCTGTTGAGCCGTGGTCTTGTTGGATATTCTCTGGAAAAACTTGCTTTAGGTAATCCAGTGATAGGTCTAGTGGCGCATTTGTGAAAAGAGTCACTACATCAAAACTTCTACCCACATTGTACGGTCTAGCAAAAATTCACAAGCCATCTGTCCCCGTTAAACCTATAGTCAGTGCGATCGGGTCACCTACTTATGAACTAGCGAAACATCTAACGAACATGCTTCAGCCTCAAATCGGTCATAGCCAGTAGTAGGTCAAGGATTCCACCGATTTCATAAGAAAGATACAGAACATCCGGCTCACGCCAGACGACATTTTGGTCAGTTTTGATGTAGTGTCACTTCTCACAAATGTCCCACTAGACCTATCACTGGATTAGCTAAAGCAAGTTTTTCCAGAGGATATCCTGACCTTGTTCCGACACACCATAACAAGTATATATTTCCGGTGGAACAATCAATTTTATGAACAAACTGACGCGTCGCAATGGGAAGTCCGCTAAGACCTATAATTGCCAATTTATACATAGTAAAGTTCGAGGAAGAGGCACTGAACACCGCTCCCAATCGTCCCAGTTGTTGGCTACGGTATGTGGATGATACCTTCGTGGTATGGAGCCACGAAAGAACATAACTAGCAGTCATCCTAAATCACCTAAACAGCAGTCACCCCAAAATCAAATTCACAATGGAGATAGAAGAGGACAGTCAACTGGCGTTCCTGGTGGTAAGACGAGAGAACTTAGAGATGGGTCACAGAGTTTACCGCAAAGCAACACACACTGACAAATATCTACACAACCATCATCCTGGACAAAAAAGAGGTGTCACTAAAAATCTGATAGACAGGGCACACCAAATCTGTGAACCTCAATACCTGCAGGGGGAAGTGGATCATGTTACCATAGTCTTACAAGCAAAAGGCTATAGCAGGGAACAAATAAAGCAGGTTTCACGACAAAAAAGCAGACCGCCGGCAGGAGACAAGGAACCACCTACGGGAGTCTCCTTTCTACCATACATTAAAGGCATTACAGATAGAATAGGTAGGTTGCTGAGAAACGCAACGTCAAGACCATCTACAAGCCGACAAATAAAATCCAGCAACTCCTAACATCAGTAAAGGACCCTAGGGACCCCTTGAGCGGTGACGGCGTATACAGAATACCGTGTTCCTGTGGTAAAGTACCGAACACGCATCAAGGAATATGAAAGAAACTGTCGACTGGAACAAACTGATAAATCAGAGGTAGCCAAACACGCACTCCAAGACGGCCACAATGTTCTGTTCTACCAAACTGAAGGCCTGGCTTTAAACAAAACGTGGTTCCCAATTCTAAAAAACACAGCACAAAAACCACGTCATTCAAGAGACCCAGACTCCCCTATCAGACAGCTCAGTCCTCAGTCTGCCGATCGCCTATAAAACCGTACGCCCATCCAGTTGACCGATCAGTTTCAGTCGACCCGCCAAGCCGAGCACTTCGCTCTCGCCGACAGTGCCACTGAAGGTGGCTACCGCAGATGTAGCCGAAAAATCCAACCCCAATACGGCTTAACAGCCCGAAAAACCTGAATGGTATGTACTACTACTACAATTTTTTTATCTATAAGAAAGGTCGGTGGCGTGCCGTTAAGATCTTCAGGGGACATAGGTTCATGTAAGGTTTACTTCTTAAGATGGACCCAAAGATTACCCCCTTACATGTTGATATTCAATTAGGAAACTTTTCAATAAATAAAAACTTGGTTGGAAAGAATAAACGCGTCAATATGCGATTTTGATTCATTATGACTTCTAGTAACACAACAAATCATATCATATTAAAAATGTTTAGTTGCTGTCAACTTGCATTTAAGACCATTAACGTAACAGTGGCATTACGCGCTGCATCGTTGCCATTATTTGAATGAGCAGTGTATTATTTTCGGTTCTATACTGATCCTGTGGCTCACTATGCTTGGGTCTACACGAGCCTTGCTTAACATTATTTTTATGGAAAATGTCTCATGAATAAATACTTTTTCATTCAGTCCTAACTATTGGTAGTAAGAAGGAAATAACATAATACTTGATGATGTAGCAAGGTCAAAGCTTCCATAAGTTTCAGTTGATCATGGCAAGTTTATAAACTTGTGATGAAAATATAAAGTTTAGATTTGCTTGGTAGAAGCATCAAGCTCTATATGCTCGGCTCGGCTCTGAAAATAATTCATATTGATTCCATCTACGAAGTTTGTACATTTAAATATTTTAAAGCGTATTTATTTTAAACTTGCATGAATATTTTGCTTTTTCAGCACCTGATTGTATTTCACACTGCGCCCACAATAAAAACAAAAACGGACATCAATGATCTATTATACTGTGACAGCATTTTTTGTTTTTAATGTGAGCGTACTAGAGCAACACTATTATTTGTATTAATATTTTGTGCCTTGTTATGTGTTATTATTGATTTGAAGTGGAAAGTGGACCATGCGCTTATTTAAATATACTTGAGTTAATTATTACAAAATGGTAAGTTTTGGACCAAAATGCAAAAATGACGAAGTCTGGGTACTTAAAAGCATTGAAGCACCAGAATAAAAAAATGTTGGTGATAGTTCAAGATTCAAATGTTCTACGATACTCAAATATAAAAATCTCATAGATGTTATCTAGTTGAAATTTGAGTTGTTTCCAGGGACGGAATATTCCTATAATATCTAATAAAAAACTATTTTTGGACATATGGCCAAAACCTCTACTGCTTAGTTTATTTTGTACTTTTTATGCTTTCTATTTTTATTCAATTTAAAAGTTTTTGGTCCCTCTAAATGCATATGAGTTATAAAAAGTCTCAAATTTTCTTTGACTAAATCGGGATTCTAAACTATCGATAGACAGTCTAAACGTGCAATAATCAACCAAAACCATGGATCTGCTTTACACTCATACGAGTATTTAGAACAGAAAGGGTCCGATTCAATAATCAGTCTATCAGACTAAATGTAAAACCTTAAAAAAATGTGTTATTATTGGCCCATATTCAAATCATACCATTGACTAACCACACTGATAATAGAACTGACAACAGTGATAATAATGATGTTTTGTGTCGTATTCACACTTAGATATGCATTATAGTAAAAATCTTCGAATCTTGTTATTGCAAGTCATCGGATAAAAGTGACTATTTCAGAATTCTCTATTGAAGGCAAATTACGAAAAAAGATATACAAACTTTTATCAATTAGTATTCAGTATTCATGAATTATAGTACTAAACGGCTAATTAGAAATACGCAATGCTTGTAAAGAATTGGTAGTCAAAAGCGCGCAAGTTCTAATATCGCATCTCTCAAAACTGACAACTTTTTAGGAGAGCAAAAATAACGGTGGGTCTTTGGATCCCTTATCGAATCACATTCTTGTTTTATAATTCCCCATGCTTGTTTGGCCCCTAAGTCCTTGAAATACTGTTTACTGATGACTCTTTTCAAGTACACGCATACCTTATTAATTATTTTTTTAGTTACGCAGTGTTAGTACCTTAGCGACGATATGGTGTTACAACAACGATAAGAAATCCTTCTATCCAATGAGTCGCAACAATATAATATAAATTATCATGAAACACTGATCCCTCAACTAGTACACGATGTATTTGTCACTACCACGCCTGCTAATATCACACTCGGCCCTTACACGTTCCTCCGCAGGTGTCGACTCCACCGTCGAGGTGGTAAACTCAGTGCTGGGCGACTTGAGGTTCTCGAAGTCAGGAGAGTCCTTCTCCATAGCTGATTCCAGGTTCCTGGGATCGCAAGGCATCGTCATAAGTGACCGTTTACGCAGCTTGGCTTGATTCTCTACTATGCTCACCAAGACCTCTGTGGAACTGCCTATCGCCATTGCTGGGACGCTCGCTGGGCTAATCTCTTTTTCTGTCAGACTAGGACATACTTCATTGAAAAACCTGCGAAAAGAATTCATTAAGAGCCGAAATAAAAGTTGATTCGTCAGTATTTGTGGATCAATTCAATTAGAATACCAACAATACTCATGGCACGATTTCGGCATCTTACCGGCTACAAGCCAATAGTATCCAATTGGATACAACAAGAATGTCTGCTCGACGAGTTCTTACCTGACTCTTTTGGATTACTTATCACGATTAGTTAAAAAGCAGCATGTGTTAAGAGCCCTAATCCCTGTGCATGTATTAAGAGCTCATCATACTTAGCTATCTTTGACAATAACGTTTTGGGGTAAGATTTCTGCAGTAACAAGGTTCTCTGAGCTCAAATTGTATTTTACTAAATTCGTATTGCTTGCTGAAGCTTCACTTGAGATTTGGGAAAAAGCAAATACGTTCGAGATAACATCCCATATCGCCTGACGTGACTTACATAAATCTACGTTATCGAAATGTTCGCCACTTTCTGAGTCATGCTGGGACAAAAAGTACAGAAGTCTCGCCATCGTCCATCACCTCATCTATAAATAGTCTTCAGGACCGAGGACAAGGTCGAGGTTTTCTCTCATGCTATGGAACGACAGTTCTCTCCCAACTATGATCTTGATAATGATCCCGACGAGGAGCAACAAATTCTAAGATCCGTCAGCAGATATTTTAGGCCCAACGGCGTTAGTGATCCCCGCGCCGCCATTAGTGATTCTTCCCGAAATCCCACATTGCACACCAGCAGAGCTTCAAGGTCATATTAAAAACCTCAAGGTGCGTAAAGCGCCTGGGGAGGATCAATTCACTAATTAACGGCGCTGAAGCTGCTTTTACGGACGTCCTTCACTTATCATCTCGTGAATATTATCAATGCTCTGCTAAGAACCCAGTACTTTCCATCGGCATGGAAGACTGCGGAAGTTATAATTATTCCAAATAAGGCGGGTCCGATATTTCCCCAGGACTATCGTACCATCAGCCTCCTGTCTGCTCCGTTTAAGCTCGCTGGAAAGGTGACTTTACGTCACCTTGCGAATTTCTCGTCAGATCACCATGTGATTCCGGACGTGCAATTTGGATTTCGGTCTGAGCATAGTACGGAGTTACAGGCCGTTAGGCTTGTGGAGCAAGTAACCAGGGGTTTCACCCTTCACGAAAGTACTGGCATCTTGCTTCTGGATGTCTTGAAGGCATTTGACAAGGTGTGGCACAAAGGCTTTTTCTATAAGCTAATTCAAAAGGGGTTTCCATTTTGGCTCCTCAAACTTTTGACATCCTTCTTTGAAGGTAAGAAATTTCGGATCAAAATTAATAATTTTTTGTCGAAATCCTTTACGCACTTTTCACACATGATATCCCTTGCCCTAGCGACTGTGAGGTCTATCTATATGCTGATGACACTGCACTGGTGGCCCAGTCGCATACCGGGAATCTGGTTCACGACAGGTTACAAGGTGCAGTGGAAGAGGTATTGGAATGGGCAGATCGTATGCTAATCAAAATTAATTACACGAAAACGCAGGGTATCTATTGTACTAAACGTAGCGGCACCCCGCTTGAGGTTTCAGGGAATGGAGCTCGCATACCATGTGGAAATTCTGCCAAAAATCAGCGTACCTTGATGTAAACTGCTCCGACTTGCATGCTACCAGGTTCTCTTGATAGCTCGTAGTCTCTCTGGGTTCCGACCGTCGCTCACGGTCGAAAGTGGGTAGGTATTTAGGTTGCAGGGGAAGCACATCCACGCTGCCCACAGTGGCTGGACGGGGTCGGAGGGGGGTGATGATTTGAGCTATGGGGGGAATTTCAGACGGACTTGGTATATCTGGAACATACGAAAATGTTTAGGTCAGTAATATTTCGCGTGGATTATGAAAGTGGATTCTGTTTCTAGGCGGTATAGTATCTCTAGTCATAATTTATTTAAAGCGGCAAAACATTTGAATCGATCCGTTGCGACCGCGAGTGCAATAATCACGAGATACAATCAAAACGGGTATTTTGATGGCTTACTACGTTTAGTCGCACAATGTACCAGCTGCCTGTTCTCAAAAATCGTGTTCGAAGAATAGTGCTTAAGGGTCAAAAGGAAATGTAGGACATCTGGAACCACGTTCCCAAACAGCTCCAACCTCACGGGAGGGTGCGAGGCGAAATCAGACAACACAGATACCCGCAACTGTTTCGCTGCACCGCTGATTCTTGGCTCTGCTGACGTAGGAAATTATTACTAAGATGACCTTGAACTAAGAAACACCAAAGATAAGATGTTTGTAAGGTGATGTCTTTGTTATACAAGTAGGCAGTAGGCAGAAACCTTGGTAGCGACTTTACTGACCCTTGAACGAATATGCCATTCGAGTCGATTTTTTACTTACCCGGTCTTATGGGGATGGTGTATGGCCCATTGTGATGCAGTACTGCTATACTAGGCATTGATGGTCCTTGTAGAGCTAAACCTATCAAATTGACACCATTATTATCGCCTGAAAGTGCAGGAAAGATATTGAGTGCTGGCTAAAATCTATGTGCAGGTGTTTGACTTACCAGATTTATCTTCAAATTGGTTCTTTAAGGCTACGGGATTGTGCTTGATAGCATTCATTCTTCGATTTGTGGGTTGTTCCGTTTTCTTGCGACGTGGTTGTTCCACTGGTAGGACGCTACGTCTTTGTTTCGGAAGCTTTGCCCGTGCCTGTTGATAATTATAAATAGATAAATGATGATGATGTCCTGTCAAATAAAATAAAAATTTCCGTAATTATCAGGTTATTATTAGTATTATATCAATTGAAATTAGCCTTTTAGTATTTTCCAACAATGTATCCTGAAACTTAGGATTTGAAACCAAAAAAAACGACCCAATATATCCGGAGCTATAGTCAAAGATCGAAATGGAAGAGAAAAGCGTAACTCATACTCAACTGCTAACGTTTTCACCATACTCAAAGGCACACCGTGACACCATGCACTGTGCTATCCTATTCCATTTTGCTACCTAATTCAAGAAAATAAACTTTTATCTCCAGAGTGGAGCACCATATCGTTGCAACGTTTTGAATAACACGAAATCCAACAGAACGTATATGTCCTGGATTTTGTACATCGGAGTTAGAAAGGGACGGTAGATTTCTAGAAAGGGGACATTTCACCTCTAAAAAGATTTTTCGACAGCTGGTGGTAACAGCAGAACAATTTGAATTATAAATGAATAAAAAACAATTTATAGAGTGATCCGAAAAACCTGTGTGCACTAAGAAGCAGTTCAAAACAAAACTGAATGATAACCAGGAATATTAAATTGAAAAGGTTGAAAAATTTGTACTTACAAATACTGTAGATCAGAGGGCATAAATAAAAGCAAGGTTTCAAAAAGGTAGGAGCACTGAAGAATATAATTGAATCTAAGGATACAAGAAAATTCGGCTATATAAGGCTATTAATAGGCCAACAGCGCTTTATGGTTGCGATATGTGGATGTTGAATAAAAAAATTGAGAAACTATAAATATAGGAATTTGGAGAAGAAGAACCAATGAGGAACTAAAAGAACTATAAAAGAACCGAACATTTCGACAGTAGCGCAAATGCAGCGATTATGATGGATGGGACGTTTGCAAAATGCCTGATACGCGAAGTACAAAAATAGTTCTAGAAGAAAGACCAAGAGGTTTGTGAATAGAGTCTATCTGAGAAGATTTGAATCGTTTGAAAATACAGCGATGGAAATAAAAAGTACTGAATAAAACATTTTGGAAGAATATCATAGAAGCCATGGGCCGACGCGGACTGTAGAGCTGTTGTATATACAGGGCGTTATTTAAAAACGTGGCCAAACTTTAGAAGGCAGTTATTTGAGTAATTATAAGATGACAAGTTCATATAAACATAAGCAGAAATGCTTCTTTTTCAAGACACAGGGTGTCAAACATTTTTTGACAAATCGGTTTTTCCTAAATGTCTTAATAAAGCATCAGTCGATTTTGTTCAAATTTAGCAGTGGTTTCAAGGACGGTAAGGAGCTAATTAAGCTCTAATTACCCCAGTGGGGTCCCGAAAAACACCCCAACCAATATCTTGGACAAAAAAGTTGTACAACAGTCTAACTGTGATTATATCCTTGTCAAGATCTGTATATTGAGAGATAGTAAAATCGCTTCCATAAACAGCCTACGGTACTGAGAACGTGCCAGACTCTACAAGAAGGCACTTTCTCTACTTATAGATACTGTTGTTTTGTTATGGTATTATCCTTTTTGGATTTTATCTACAGAAAGGTAACAACCGAAACAAACGAAATAAATGTAATATTTTAGAGACCAACCTGTGTGTGTGAGTAGAACATCGAAAAATTAGAAACTATGACGGGCACCGGCAAAGCTATGGTCAGAACCCCCGCAAGGGCGCAAAGGGCACCAACAAACATTCCAGCATAGGTCTTGGGCGCCATGTCGCCATAGCCTACTGTGGTCATTGTCACTATCGCCCACCACAGACCCTCTGGGATGCTTTTGAAGCAGTTATCCTTGTTGTCCTAAAAATGAAAAATATGCAACAGAACACCTAACTTCGCAGTGCTGTCTTCACTAATACTATCTGTTCGCTTGAAAATCAATACATCCCAAATTTCCCTTAATCTCTGCTTCTCAGGCTCTCGGCCATTCTTTGAATGTACAAAATGTACAAAATACCAAAACCTGCCTTTCAGTTATCTCTAGTTCCTGGTCAGTTTTCCCAAAAACGCTTCTAAAATGGGAATCAAATATGAAAATTGTGACATTCCAAATCAATGCTATCAACCGAATCTTATCTATTTACTTGAAAAGGCTAGATGTCTTTGTTAACGACAATGATCATTTTAGGATGATGTCATGAGTGAGATTTTTGAGACCAGCTAAATGTTCTGAAACCCAATCTCGCTTATCTTTATCCCAGATGAAAATTTTTATTAAAATAAATGATTAAAACTAGAGTTTATTAGGCATATTTACGCCAACCCTAGTTTCATGCTTTTCTCAATTATCGAACTTTAATAAACTTATTTCACTTGTTGAATACCTAGCGTATCTGGCTTGAGTTATTGGACAATAATTACGGTAGTCAAGTGTAATATAAGGTCTTGATTATTATTCTACCACAAAACACGTTACACCACAAAACTCAATGCGGAAATTCATGCAAGTCAAAAAGTGAATATAGGTCAATAGATTTTTGTCTAAATGGCTTTATAGTTTACAACTTTAAGTGCTTTATATCGACCACAATCACCACAATCTTACTAATTTTATAATCTGATCTAAAACGTTTTTAAATTGGGTAATTAACAAATAAATGGCATTAAATTTTTATAAGTTAAGCCAAAACTTGTAGTAAGTAAGTTTCATTAAATTAAATATTTAAAACACATATGACAACAGCGCGTCGGCCCTTCATGTTTATTTACAATGTTCTCGAATCAAGAGTTTGCCAACATGTTGTTAATTTACGGTGAAGCTCGTCAGAATTCAAATCTTGCAGCTCAAATTTATCGCGACAGATTTCGCCAACATGTACACCCAGACAGAACGACATTTGTGCAAGTGTTCCAAAGACTTCGAGATACAGCATTCAGCCCAGTATTATTCGAACTCGTGAAAGACAGGTTACTGTAGAGCAGGAGGAACAAATATTAAATATCGTGGAAATCAATGCACGTACCAGCACTCGGGAATTAGGCCGCCGCGTAGGACTATCACATACCATAGTCCATAGAATCGTACGGGACAATTTGCTTTATCCCTACCAAGTACAATGAGTGCAGGCATGTTACCAGAAGACTATCCTCGCAGAATAACATTCTGTCAGTGGTTTTTCCACAAAAACATTGAAAATCCGGATTTTCTTAAAAACATTCCAGCGACGGACGAATGTACTTTTACGCCAGACGGGATATTAAATTTCCATAATACTCATACGTGGGCCCAAGAAAATCCTCATACCATTCGTGAAGGTCATTTCCAACACTTAAATATTTGGGCGGGTATTGTTGACGATCAGGTAATTGGCCCTTTCAACAACATGCCGTACAACGAAGATAGAATTTGTGGTTTCTTCATGACGGGGCACCACCACACATTTCTAGAGGCGTCGTTAGAATGAACATTATCCAAATCGCTGGATCGGTCGAAATGCTCCTGATCCTCGAAAATGGCCAGCAAGATCAATCCTATGGATTTCTGATATTGGGGACAACTTAAAGGAATGGTTGATCGCGCTGGTCCAATAACAACTGAAGCACAAATTTTTAATGCGGCTGAAATAATAAATGGACAACTTCGAGGACCTAGGTTAAGAAGAAACTGGGTTCGTCGTAATGAACCTTGTGTGGAAAGTGGAGGATGATATTTTGAACACCTTCTTTAAATACAAAAAAGGTGCAGTCTGGGTTTTAAAAAGAACAACAATGTATGTATCAAAATTGTGGTCCCTATTTATAAGTGGATTTTTTTAATACGTTCAATAATCTTTCATACACCAGGTGAAGCGCTGAGACAGTTAGTGGTAAGTCCGTTTTTTTTAATTGTTTGCATTTTACGAGTACATTATCAAATAATGAAATAATACCTAAGAGCCAAAAATAACAAACTCCATCTTTATTGACACTGCGTTCCGTCGTAATTTGCGTCTGGCATTGCGGCGTTGTCAGATTTTATTTTACTTTGAAGTGGATTTTCTCTAAAAAAAATGCCATTTTGACCCTCATGTTATATGAAACTTTTTGCTTCTTTTAATCCCCTCTGTCACCCATTTAAATAATGACTATCATAACGTTTACACCCTGAATAGTATCGGTATCACATCGACTGCAAGCATTTACTGGCAGCAATACTGCGGATGCCTGCTTAATCCTAGATAGAAATAACCTCTTGCGTGAATATAAAACTTCACGCCACCTTCATAATATCTATACCTGCATCTTCTCAGCATAGTACACAAGACTAGCAAACACCACAATGCCAGAACTAAAAGACCACCAACAATCCTAGTTCTTTGGCGGAAGCCTTGAAGGTGTGTATGAGTATCTTTAAGCCTGGTGAATGCCTGGTGAGCTTGAACAACCTGATATCCTTATGATACTGATGAAGTCAGGAGCTGCGACTTCTTCTCAAAAATAAGGATCATGTCGATGTAGAAGCTCAGTGTGGCCGCAAAATCGATTATGTTAACTGGTGATTTCAGGAATTCGATTACGTTTGGTGCTACCTGTAAAGAAAATTTGTTCTTGAAATAGGACAGGATGGATTACTTAAAACTAGAATAGGCTATTTACAATGCAGTCTTTCAGAGTCACATCAACTGCTTCTACTTGGGCACCGAAATACGTATACTGAACAGTCTTGTTTGATAGCAAAAAATAATCTCCCTGAAATGCTAACAAATGTACGGAGAAATGCTATCCTGCAAAATCATTGGCTGTTGGGGCATTCCAAACTTTAGATCATATTCTTCTTCCTCATAATCGGCTTTAGTTTTGTATAACGGGTTCAAAGAAAGAAATTTCGTTATATGATATGGATTCCGCGTAACTGGATGAGAAAATAATTCCTAGAACTTTGATTCTCGGCACGGTCGACTTACTCCAGTACTCGTGACTCGCGACGGAGGCAACCGGAGTTCTAGTTAATGCGCGGTTCACGATGATGTTATAGGAAGAAAAATGGCGTCAGTATGTTTGATTGTACACTTTCCACGCAACGCCATCATTAATCCATAATGGATTATGTTGAGCACAAGTAGACGCTATCGAAATAATATAGCGCCATAGACCTTACATCCTGGCCAGAGCATAGTTGCAATAATTTCTTTCGTTGTCCCAGGGTCCATGCCTAGACCATGCAGATGAGTTCCCAATAAATCACGACACAGCTGCCTGTGATTGGCTGCCTTTGGCTGGACGGACAGAAGGAGCATGTCTGAGTTGGGTCCTTTAGCTCGTTGCGAACATGCGTAACAAGAAATTA